TTTCTCAACGCAGGATGGGAGTGGGAACATTCGATCTGTCAGATAATGTTGTTTAGTGGAGTGTCGTTCAATGTGTGTTCAAGTATAACAAAATGCAATAGGACTGTTTGAGTTGAAACTGCATCAATTGATGAAGTTATTGACTTCACTCAAACTCTTTAGAACGACTTGCAGCTTCATGCTGCGAAAGTAAAAATATTATAATAACCTCAATTTTGGTTGAAATAATTGTACTTAAAAAATATCCAGAATTATGTCCATCTCTTTTCATCCCTATTCCAGTGATCCACCCAACCAAAATGAACCAATGCACTGCGTTAAATATCGTTATCGTTGTATTCGGTTTTAGTGTGATACCTTGGTTCACTGAATAATTATTAATTTTTTTTTATAGATTTTTATAGGTTATTATTTTAATACTATAAGAGAGCAAATTTAAGTTGAAACCTATACGACTTTGACAATTCTACCTGACTTTGCCAGATAAAAAGTTTTACCTTTTTTTTTAAATGATATTTTTAATTTGCAGATGGCGCAACTGGTGATTTTCCATTTTATCGCTCAATATTCCGTGGACAGAATTTTAGTCCATAAAACTATGCTTATAACCTGCTCTGTTGTGTGGTATTTAAACTGAAAAAACCCCATTGCATTTTGTTCTGTAGTTTCCGAGATTATCCCGGACATAAAAAAGGCACTTTTATACATATATATTTATATAAAGAAAGATATATAAGTACAGGGTTTAACAGAAAAATCTAACAAATGTAACTAAGTAATAGCTTTTATTATTATTAATATTTTTAATAACCGTTTTAATTCAGATATTGTATGATTATTATTATAGTTAATTAAATATTAAGAAAATATTGTGTAGATAAAAACAAAATTTATTACAAATATAGGTAGTCAATTATAATTGTTAGCTATTTCAGTTACACTCTAAAGGAACAATTTTCATGGGGATCAAACCATCAGAATTTTTTTTTTAAAATTAAATATACATAATTTTAGAAGTATTAGTATTTCTGTCCTGGTGGCTGAAGGGGGCTTAGCCATTTATTATTTGTTCCACTGCAGTACACATATGTACACAATGAATATTATCGCAGTAGGTATTAAAATTCACTTGCATTATAATTTTTAACAATAACAGTTATGATTAGGGACTGTAAAATTTACGAAAAGTTAGAAAATCATGACTTATCGTATTTGAAGAAAATATTTAAAAAAATAGTAAAACGATCATAAAGTTTAATTACAGAGTTTAGTGATGACTGATGAAAATAATTGGTATACTTTGTAAATAATATTTTCAAACTTTTCATAAGACGATAAGCTTAATAATACATTAATATTGAAGTGTTATATATACTTTTTATATAATACCTACACACAAATTCATTACATCATCTGTATTTAAAAATTTGAAATAAGAACTTATTGCATACAATGTGCAAATATTGTACAAAGACTACTTCCAAGTTTGTCCCCGTCAAATAACTGGTTTCGAAGAATTTGTTATTGAATTTCTCAGAATCTTTTTACAGCTGAAAATGTAATATCTAATTACTTATATGAATGTAAATTAGTTGATTAGTTATTGAATCGAAACAATAAATTTCCATCAGAAATACATATGTCTAGACAAAATTAGTTATGTCTAGTAAAGTTATAAATATGATTTAATTTTACAACGAGAATGTTTATAGTTATGTTATAATGAATTTTGTTTTCGGGAAATGAACAGTCTAACGCATAATGATTTTGTCATTAAAATAATGTATCGGTTTTTATTAAATAAATTGTTAAAACAAATAAATAAGTTAAAAATATACTTTAGGATGACAATATAAATGCATAATTTAAAATAGACGTTAAGAAAAATCTAAATTATTACTAACGTTCTAATTTCCTGGTTTATGTGAGTATTCAACGAAATATAATCATTAATTAATTATGTTTTATTGTTTAATGAAATTCGTTATGTCCAAATAATTAACGTTTCTCTAATATCTTCTACGAATAGTTATAGCCTTATTGGGTACATCAAAAGAAAACATATTATATAACACATTATATAGTAGACAATATAAATGCATTTAATTGATTTAGTTTCAATTAAATCATTTGTGTATTTTATCTATAGTAGAATAATAATTATTTAAAGCTAACAATTGTAACCACGGAAACGAAAGTTGGGACGGACTAACACAGCGGCTATACCTAGGTAGGTATTTGATATAAATTATCGATTTTATTTGCTTATTGAAATTATCTATAACTATATTATTTAAAAAATAAATGTGTGTTTGTCTGTCCTTTATGCCCGTCTAAACAGCCGGACCGATTTTGATATAATTTTTTCTGTGTGTTTGATCGGTTCTCTGGAAGACTTAGATTCATAATTTGATCCGGTGGGTGCAACCCAGGGAGGTGCTCAAACGCGGATTTTGAGATTAACGAAGGAAATTTGTGTTTATAAATGGTTGCTATTGGTTATAAGATAATTATTATAAATATATTTAGTAGAAATTGGTATTTTCTTGTTTATTGGTTGCCGTTGGTTAATTGGACAGATCAGGTATAGGCATGCATCAAATAAAATTATCACACATTGCCTACCAAGGGGCATGGTGACTGAGTTGTACTTAACCGCTCATCGGCGTGTAAAAATAAAAATAAATAAATAAAACAAACAAATTATTCATATAGAGTACCCATCAAGTGGGGTCCGCAATCCAACACAATTTGATTGCCTACCTGATAATATACTGCTCGCATTATTACAAGAGAGTCTCATATAGAGTTGGAATTTTCGGGAAAATGCCGATGAGTGGCTATAAGTAAAACTCAGACACCTTGGGAGGCAATGTGAGAAAATTTAATTTGATGCATGCTTATACCTGATCTCTCTGATTAACCAACGGCAACTAATAAAAAACAAAAATACTTATTTGCTACTAATTATATTTATAATTCTCCTATAGCCAATAACAGCTATTTATAAACAAACATGTTTGATGACCTCCTCGGGTTGGACCTACCAGGTCCAATAATAAATCTAAATCATCCAGGGAACCGCTCAAACACACAAAAAAATATCATCGAAATCGGTTCAGCCGTTGAGACAGGTATAAAAGACAGGCAGACATTCATTTTTATATGTATATTTATTTATCATACAACAATAATTTGAGTAAAATATTATTAATATCAATTTTACTTTTGGTTTTGATGTTTTTTTTCTAAGAGGGTATCGGACACTTCTAATACTATTTGTTCACCCATTTTTCGAAACGATGTCAACCCTTGTCCCTACAATACTTCTATGACACGTGAGTCTTATACATTACATTTTCACATTTCACTGTCATCAAAAGTGCCAAGGTCGTTATTATGAAATTTTATCGATCTTAGCTTATGTACACTATTGAACATAAGCTATATTTACAACAACATCGTGTGTACCTTAATATCCAAAGCTGGTTATGACACTAACAAGGGACAAGGATAATATCAGTGAAAATACCCAGTAGTAAGTCTGGTCAAATTTGTTCACCTCGACAATAAAGATAATTTAAGTCAAGGAACATTTGGTAAAATAAATTTTTTAGTTGTTTGGAACTGAATAATTTATTTAATTTAAACCCTTGAAATTCATACCTAATTCAAAGTAGATATTTTATATTTTTGGGTATCCAAGGAAGCTATTAGTTATAAAATATTACTTTATGAAAAACATAATAGTAAAGTGTAAAGTAAAGTGTACGATTATTATGTGTTAATTATGCAGTATTGTTGCTTTTTAAATTTTACTTGCCTAAGTATAATAGTATTATGTATTATTAAATTAAAAATAAAATTACGATTTTAACTTTTAAGATCCTGAAATTTTCTGTTATTGTATGTTATTGTAACACACAACTAAATGAGTAGGCATTTAATAAAATCATTGATAAATTTCCGAGATATTGTAGTTAATTTATAACTTAAATTGAAATATACTTACTTCATCCTTTCTAGTTGGTAAGACATAACATCTAATGATTTGTTTAGTGTATTTAATTAGTTGGAAAATTGACGTTCGACTTATTATTACTCAATAATTATGGTTTTTGTTAAGTGGAATTCATAATATTTCTCAAATAGTCAAGGTTTATTGATTTAAAAAAAATTACATCGTAGTTAGGAATTTATTGAATATTAAATAAGTAATAGGTAATAGTAGGTATTATCATTGATTATACATATGCTATGTATAATCAGTAGTATTACATAGTTTAAAATAATTTCACACATAATTATACAATAAACTTTCTTTTTCTTCGAGCTGCTAAAAACTTTTTATATTTTTTTTGACCTTAGGTAACAATTTAATATTTTATATAAATTGTTTGAAAGATATACAATCTTTTTGTATATTTAGGTAAAACTAGGATTAGATGACAAAAATTGTCAACCATAATATTATAACATACAAAATATTGTTATTTTAATATCCAGTCAGTAAGTTGAGAATTCAGAGCATTATTTTTTTTTTTTAATAGAATTCATTGAATAGTTTGGTTACTTAATAATTTTCCATTTTTTTGAGTATCTTTTATTTTGAAGACTATCCAACATATGACAATATCACTCCATTAACCATTACAGACGAGGTGAGGTCGAAGGGTTGTTGCATGTTGGAATTTTTATTTTGCTTTTCACATAATACGGTTAGTTACTTAAAGAATATCGTGATCCCTGGTCTCTCTGGTGACTAATGGTATCCAACAAAATATGCATTATAAGCTACGTTTCATACTACATTATAAGTTGACACCCGACTTCTAGTACATTTCGGGTAGCTGTATTTAGGCTGATAAATTAAAAAATGAAAAAAATATAAATAATCGATAGTAAATAGAAGAAAAGAATATTCAAAAATCACATTTTCACGTGCATCACACAATTTAAATGAGCATTAAGTTTTTTAAAACAGAAAATACAACACTGACCTGCGAACAACAAAAACTTGGTCCTGTTGGGTTTTGGCACGAGTTGGTTGTATTACATGCACCTGTTCCGGGTACTTTGAGTTGTGTGTCTTTATAGTCTGGTTGATATGGTATAAGCATCCTAATTTTACCCCAGCGGTTGAAAAACATTATTATAGCGCCGACCCAGACCATTAAGACCAGCACTACAATAGTAATTTCGATTCCTCGCACCTAAATAAACATAAATAGTTATAACTTATAGAGTAGTAATATTTTAACATCCACTTAAACAAATTATTGTGAATATTATATTTATTCTTACTTTGATATTGTCTATGGTCTTTACTTAATATTATTTGTATTTTACACCAAACCACTAATGACGGGTTAGTTTATCTACGTAAGATACGTTTTAGTAAAGTTAATTTATTTTTGAATAAATGATAAGAAACCTTATTGAAATTAATTTGAAAATATAAAGACCACTCAAGTATTTACATAATTCATGTGATTAATGGTTTGGTGCTGCGTATATTTTCTTACAACTCTTGTATTTATCATTGTTTGTTTGAACATTTTAAATAGAATTAAAATTTTTCCATGAATAATAAAAACTATTGATTCTCACAGTTATCTAAGACTGCATTCGGCAGTTATATAGTCCTGATAATATGGTTTATTTTAATTTCATCTTATTTATATTTACTTGTATATCTACTTAAATTATGTTTAGTGTATGTGCACTAATTAATAATCATACTCATAAAATACCGACAGAATTGGTTCACGATGGTGGTATTGCAGGTACCCAAATAGACTATTTATAACATCGTGTGATTATAACTACTTTACAACCAATATTCATTGGCATTAAAAAAATTTAACACTTTTGGTTTAAAGAGAAAGCTGACCCCCCATGGGATGGAAATAACCAAGAGACGCTAGTCACAAAAAACCTACTAAAAAACTACTGTCAATCTTGCTGGGTGATTTTAAAGTCATACGTGTTTATTTCAGTTGTAGACACAACTTGTATCAAAGAATATCATTTGCTTAGGATAACTTCTCTGTTCTCTGTACTAATAAATATATATTATATAATGATTAAAGAACTACATATTTATATGTTTAGGTGTACATATTTATTTAGTGATATTGATTTAACAGAGTTCGTGCTTAAGCTCAACAATTCTAATAATTTAGGAAAACGAAATTTCGTAATATTTTTGGAAAACATGTTGTATGAACAGGAACATATTACATTTCATTTTTATTTATTAACGATGGTAGTATATTTATAAACTATTTAATAAGTTTATTTTTATTATAAATAATTCCGAATTACTTGTA